CAGCCTGGAGTGGAAGAAAGCCATAGCCAAGCTTCTCTGCCTTAGGGGAGAGGGGCTGATCACCTCCCCCAAAGAGACTGAGGTTCCATCTTTTGGCCTTGGAGATCCCCACAGGGCTGGCAGGTTTGCAACTTTCAGTTCAGTCTGTCCTCGTGGGGGCGCCTAGGAGGGGAGCTGGAGTAGGTCACAGGGCCAGGGCCTATAAGACAGATCTCTTCCCAAAGCCTGAACTGGACAATCTCCAAAGTATGCATTTTTTACATAGGTGTCATGGCTTAATTGGTTACAACCTTTACCTAGTAAGAGAGTCTGGGTTCGAATCTCGTCCGTGTCACATCTTACTACATGAGCCTGGTTCCTGCTTGTGTCCTGGGGGGCTCTCTAATGCTCCTGCTGCCCTTGCCCATCGGGTAGGCCATATCATGGTTAGAAATCCTTTACATGGCACCTTATTGTTCTCCAGTGCACTGTGAAGTTGGAAAACTTGGGTTCTTAACAGCTTAGGACAGTCAGCCTTACTCCCTACCTCCGTGCTGAACGCCCACCCCGCTGTCTCCAGGGCAACTTAGTGGGCCTGGAAAAGGACCTGAGAACTAGCAAAGAGGACCATTTCCTTGGATGTCAGTTTTACGTTGGGACTTCCCATCTTTAATGTGTCTGCTCCTTTTTGTCCTTTCAGATTTCTGGACCCAGGAATCCTCAGTGCCCATTTTAGAAACTCCAGCCCCAATCAATCACAGCAGCTGAGTAGTTGCCCCCTACAGTTTCTGAAATTGGTGGTTGAGCCAGACCTTTCACTGACTGAAGAGTGGTGTAAGACCTTGGGACTCAAGAGGAACAGGATTGGAAAACAACTAGCCTAGAGAGGCTGCAAAGTCCACCTGACAATTGGTGTAAAGATCCTCTCTCCCTATTTGAAGAGGGCAAGGTGCCACTGATTGAAATGGAATTTGAATCTCCAAGCCAGGGGTTCTCAAATGTTAACATACTTCAGAGATCCTGGAAGGCAGGTGAAAAAACTGACTGCTGGGCTCCACTCCCAGAATTTCTGATTCAGTTTGTCGAGGGTGAACCCTGATAATTTGCATTTCTATAACAAGTTCCCAGGTGATGCTGACTGCTGCTGGTCCAAGACCACATTTTGAGACCCAAGGCCTAGTATAGCACTACAGGGAATAGAAAGAAATTTTGCCTGCTCAGGATCTCTAAGAGGTCTAAGGGAATCGATTTCATTTTTCTCTTATTGCACAGCCCACTCACCCCTACTCAGATAGAGATGGAAAGAACCTGTCTTCTGCCACCTGTGGTTCTGAGTCAGGTCTCACCTTGATGGAAATAGGAAACTGGTTTAATTATCACCCCGTTAGCTCCCTAAAGTTATAACATCACTGTCACCGAGGCAATCTTTTCCTTCCACTTCCACTATTAGAGCTAAGGCTTAAGGTGAAAATAGAGCTGGGAAAAGCAAACACTTTGGGTTACATTCTCCAGTGTAAGGGATTCTTTGGAGATACTTTGATGGGGTGGAAAGGAGAGAAGACTTGGGTCCTGAATAGGGTAGTGTAGCACCACAATGGGAATAAGGTAACAGGTTCCTTAAGATGAGACTTCCCTATTTTACATTTTTCCCAGTGAGAACAGACACATTTTATTTAAATGGGTAGGGCAGACATGTGGCAGACGGAGTTGGGAGGAAGATGGGAGTTTGAGGCTGATTCCCTGTGGGGAAAAAAATCATTCAGATCTAGTCACCTCTCTGATGGATGTTGTTTATTTTTTGTCCAAGGGAAGTGGTGTTGGATCGAGGTAGAGAAGACAGTGGTACACCAGAAATGACCTAAAGGGATGCCCCATCTGCAGACGGCCTTAGGCTCCATGATGCCTTTCAGCTGGGTGCTATGACTGCACCTACACTTTAGGGGCTTCACTGTCTATCCTTAAAATTACTAAAACAATTACTGAAACAGATCAAAGGTCGGAGGTTCACATCTGATTATTAAGAGGTGTGATCTGATAGTATGGAAAGTCACTTCCTACAAGTCTTTAAAACAAGGTTTGTGAGGAACTGGATTTGTCAGCATGTCATATACGAGTATCTTTTTAAAAAATATATCGAGTAAATTATAAGCAATGTCCTTCTAGTCATCAAAGACCAGGCTCTATCCTTATAGCCTACTGCCTCTGGTATCTTAGTCCTTAAAATATTTAGTGACCCTTCCCTTGTAATTTTAGACACAAATATATAATGACCATATCAGGTCAGAGTAACTCCCTTTCTTTGACCCCAGTTTAGTGATTCCATGGATAGGCTCTGAACCTGCTAAATGTGTATGCAAAACTGAGTGGATTGCTAATGTCTATTTTTCTCAAAAATGAGTTTCTGATTTTTATCAGATTCTCAAACAGTCTGTGATCCAAAACAGGTTCTGAACCATTGCTTACATAGAGCTGATTTGCATTAATGAATGAGGCATAGTGGGAGGGAAAAAGAAATGGCATACTCCAGTTTTACCACTGGAATCCAATACTTTCCTTTCCCTTGGGGCATCTCCTAACACTGATCCTAAAATGCTCCTGTGTCTGAGGACCTAGGACAAGGCCATCTTACAAATGGCTGGCTATTTTGCTCTATTCATAGGAACATAAGCAACAGAAGCGCATTCCAGGCAAAGAAGGAAGGCTGCTCTGAACAGCAGAAGGGAGGCAGGGGCTGGGTTGCTCAAGTCAGACCCACTCTAAGAAGCCCAGTCAGCAAAATGACCCTATTCTCAGCTCCATTTGGGTCCAGGACTCTGAGGAGCTATGATTCACCTCGTTTTTCCTTAAGCAAATGGGACAGTCATTAAACTAGACTGTTGCAGCTCACTTCCTCTTGCCTCTCTGGTTAATTCTACCAATTCTAGTTGAAAAATAAGTGTGTTAAGGAAAAACCAGAATCTAAGCATTGAAGAGAAAATATCCCACTTTCACCCTCTTTGTTCCTCTCCCTCTCTTATCCCAAACTGCTCGTACGTACAAGATAATTTTTAAATTATAAGATTGGTATTAACACATCATCACTAAGGAGAAACAATGACCAACTCATCAACTAACAGATGCTAGGATGCAAGTCCTGGAGTTAAGGGTCTTAGTGTGGACACATTCCCAGACTTAAGAAGAAAACCAACTGGAAAGCTCATTACCCTGCATCAGCTGAAAAACTAAACCACAGCCATTTCCCCTAAAGTTCTGTTTCTGGGAGAATGAGATCCTCAGGTATAACTCTGCCCCCTTGACGAGGCAATCAACATCCAACAAGAGTAATGACAACTTGTATGCACTGTGATTCCTGCCCTAATTTCCCAGCACTTAAAACAAGACAAAAAAAACCCCGCTCAGCACAAACCGTCTATATGTATCTTGCTTGAAATCAACAAGAAAGAACTCACCTGACTGAGGATATTTCTTTCTCTCCACCCCGGCAAAAAGAACCTGCAGCCCAGAGATTCAGACCTAGACATATATATCCACAGTTATCTTGATCTCAGTGACACTGAAAAAAGCTTTATACCTCAACATCCACGACATCACTTAACCATTTTCCACTAGGGTTCCCTTAATTGCTAAGTTTACTTCCTATGTTGAAACAAAACAAAAAACCCCATACAATCCCCACTACCCTTGTCCCCAGAATACAGCCCCTAGAAAATCTAGCTTGTACAGTTTGCACTTTACATGCTCTCTTCAAAGACCCTGCACACAGATACACATAGACACATACAGACACAGTCAAGAGGAGAGGGGTCTGTTCAAGGGGATAAACTTTTTTTCTTCTGTGTGGGCTTGGGTGACTTGGGGTTACAAGGTCCATCTCTTAGCATGGGAGTGTGATCTCTCAGCTGGATATACGTATGTGTGGGGTGAGGGGAGTAGGAATAAGGGAGTGAAACTGTTTCTACTTTTCAGCAGGTAGGGGTGAGAGGCATGGATGTATATTTGGATGATTAGGGGTAAGGGTGATGGACCCACACAGGAATGAGGTCTGCCCCTCAGCTTTCATTTGGATTTAAAAAAGGGGGCTCTGGGTGCCTGGTCACTATCTCTTTCCTGTTTCCACATTACTCTAACCCAGTGCTCACCAGAGTGTTTCATGGAGTCACCAGTTGTGGGATGTGAGACAGAAAGGATACTGAGGTCAAATACATTTAGGAAACATTGCATTAAAAGAGGCTCAACAATTTGTTCTATGTAAGTTTTTGGAGGTTTTAACATGCTAATATGGTCTCTCTCTACATATACATATACATATACATACAGAGGGTACCAAAAAAATGTATATACATTTTAAGAAAGGAAAAAACTGTATTAAAATTACATTGATGGTAACCACTTTGAGCACCTCTTGTAATTGCAGAAGTCAAATGTGACTCATATTCATCTTTTGTTATCTATCTATCTATCTATCTATATATATAAAGACTTTATTGGGGAATTGGGGAAGGGAACAGCGTTGGGGAATCAGGGAAGGGGAACAGATAAGTTGCTGTCCTTTTGTTCTTCAGTCTAGTTGTGGAGGACGTCGCTTCACTGGCCCATGTCAGTATTATCATTTCGCTCTTCTTGGCTGAGACAGATCAGTTGCCAGCCATTGGACAGCTGCTCACGGTGGCTCATGGCAGCTCATGCCAGCTGCCAGCTGCTCATGCTGGCTGCCGGCCACTCACGGTAGCTTATGGCAGCCCACTGCAGCCCCGCTGCAGCCTACGTTGTCACAGGCGACTCACGGCAGCCTAGCTCCAGGTCGAGCTGTTGTTCACCATCTTAGCTGTAGAGGGCAGTGTCACTGGCCCATGTGGGATCCGAATCGGTGTCCCTGCTGCTCAGAGCTGGTGTCCCAAGCCAACTCTTAACCAACGAGCCACTCGGCCGGCCCATTATCGGTGTATATTATTACAATTTTAATACAGTTTTTTCCTTTCTTAAAATGTGTATACATTTTTTTGGCACCCTCTGTGTATTACATATACACATACACATATACATATGTGTATGTGTATATTATATATATGATATATATTATATATATAAAGAGAATATAACAGTTATAGTATACAATGGTGATACTCAAAATATTTACCAACTAGTATGGCATAGGCTCTAACCAATCAGAATGGACCTCAGCCATAAACCACTGGTACCACTGTTCCCTTGAGAAAGGGCTCAGGCTGAGTATCAGCCCATATAGTAAGCACTGTTTCCCAAAAGTTTTGCCCAAAGAACTCTCTTTTATGTGGTATATCACAGAACTGGTGAGAAATGCTCTGGTCAGTGCTGGTAGCTCATCTTTCTGGGGCATAAGGCCAGGGCTCATGATCCTGGCCTGGGCGCAGGACAGAGGCAGCTCCGTCAGAGGCTCCTGGTAGCACTGGCTGATAGATGTGACCACAGCTGCAGCAGAAACAGACTTCAAAAGACAGATGTCCCTCTGTCCCAGCTGCTCCGGGGACTCTGTCCCTGGTGAGTCAGCAGGTGCCTGTCCAGGTGATGTTTACGCCCGAAGCTCTTCTCACAGCGAGGGCACTGGAAGGGCTTCTCCCCCGTATGGGTCAGCCAATGTCTCACTAAGTGGTGCCGCCGGCCAAAGCTCTTCCCACACTCAGTGCACACATGGCACTTTGGCACCGGTGGGGCACGCTGCCGTTTCCTAGCCCCAGGGCTCTCTCCAACCTCTTGGCCCTTGCAGGATTTGCCTTCCGCGTGCACCCTCTGGTGACTGGCCAGATGGGAGTTGCATCGGAAATTCTTGCCACACTCAGAGCACCTGCTGGGCTTGTCATGTAGGTGGGTCTTCTGGTGCCGGATCAGGTGATGTCTCCTCCCAAAGCTCTTCTCACACTTGAGGCAGCTATAGGGCCTCTCCCCGGTGTGCGTTTGCTGGTGCCTCGCAAGGTGGGAGCCCCACACAAACTGTTTCCCACACTGGGGGCATGTGTGCGGTCGTAATAGGGAATCCATCTCTGTGCTACACAGGAGGTTAGAGAAGCTATCTTCCTGAAGAAAAGGTGGGCCCAGGAGCATTCCTCTGGAGGTCCTGGGCATGGAATCCCAGCTCTCATCATGCTCCGGGTTCCAGAGAACAGTATCTTCCGACACACTAGATAACATTCTGGGAGGTTCTGCTTCTAGTTCAGGGGTATCCCCCTCGTGCTCACTTCCATCTCCTGTGGAGAAGGGAAAATACCGACCCCAAGAGGGGAGTCACAAGAGAGCACCCCAGGAACCAAGTCACAGGTGAGATTGTATGATGTCTGTTAGGGCCTAAACCTCACCCCACCATGGCTGAGAGAAAAGATTTGAATGTTGTACAAGACAGTGCAAGAGATGTAGAACTTAAAAGCCTAGGCTTAGGAGACAGACTACCCAATTCTGAATCTCAGCTTTCTCACTTCTGGAAGCCTTCATTTCTTCTTCTGTAAAATGGAAATTATTATAAGATAGCACAGTACCTGCTTTAGTAAGCACTTAGTAAGGGGTCTATGCTATTGTGATTATTTGTTTATTACTATTATTTACTCACCATGGTTTTTCACTACTAATTATCATCTCCTTGCCTAAGCATAAATGGAGGGAGTTAAGGAATGTGCTGCAATCATCTCGGGCTGGGTGACCACCTGTCAGCAATAACAGAGACACTATGGAAGGCATTTCTGCAGTGGGTGGGAAGTTGAACAAGAACAACAACAGTAACAACAACTAACGTTTATTGAGTGCTTATTATGTACCTGGTACTATTCTAATATGTTAACATTTAAATCTCACAATAATTTACAGATGAGAAACCCAAAGAGCGGTTAATTACTTTTCCAAGGTCCCACAGGTATGGTCCTGAATTCAAATCCACAAAGTTTGGCTCCAGAGCCTGCCCTCCAAACCACTCTGCTACACTGTCTTGCTTTTGTTTGAAGAAAAAGATCTCTAAAGCTTTTGACTTTACAACTCCCTGAGGCAGAGGAGGGATTAGAAGGACATGTAATGATGACACTCCAAGAGGGGTGAAGGCCATGGCTAAAAATCCACTCCAGATTCTTACCTGTGTATGTGACCCTCAGGATGTCCCTCTCCTCTAAGTCCTGTGGGTCAGGGACCCATTGTTCTTCCCCTCCTTCTAGTTGAGAAACCATGTCCAGTTTGGGAATTGGAAACCCTACCCACGGAAAAGGAAAATAAAGGTGTCGATTAGTTCAACTGCAATTCTATATTTCTGAAGAAAGCTAGATTATCATTTATTTATAATTTATTTATCAATAATTTCCTAGATTATTGCTCGGAACCCTGGATCAAAGAAGGCCAGATAGAAGAAGGCTCTCCTCCCTGCTCCCATTCTTAAGTCCCTCTTCTTTCTTCTAGAAAATCACAACTGTCTTTTTCAACAAGTCTGTTCTCTTCCACTTATATTTCAAATACCTTTAGCCTAACTGTCCTTTCTGGTTATAACTTCATTTAGCTAGCTCTAATACAGCCGCCCCACCCCTGCACTCCCACCTTTCCCTAGGTAATTTCTGAGTTCCCAAGGACTCTGTTCCACCTCTTAGATGTCTTTCTCTCTGCTTTGTAAGAACCTGCCAATTCCAAACCACAAAGAGCCTAAAGTTCTCTTTTCCATAATTCAGCATTATTTTGCTGTTGTCTTTAAAAAAAATGACTCCTCACTTCCATCCTCTTTGGGTTATCCCTAGTACTCCTTCTCTGGCAGAAGCCTAGACAGATTCCCTGCCACGAAAAGAACCCTAGATAGACAGTATCCAACAGCCCTGGAGCACACGGCTCCATCCTCCCAGAGTACAATCTTTTCGTGGCTGGGGAAGGTCATGCTTACTTAGAGAGACCACTATCCCACAGTTTTCCTGCATGACATATTCTCCATAAAAGTCTGTCTGAGAAGGGTCCAGGCTCCGCCACTCCTCCTGAGAGAAGCACAGTGACACATCCTTGATGGTTACCAGGCCCTGAAACAAAAGGTAGCATCATCTGTCACCAGCTGTTCCTTCAGGAAAATGTGATCTTAGTCTAAAAGGCTGGGGTAGATATAGAAGAGAGGGCAAAAGAGGATCTAGAAACAGAATTCCCCAGAGGTCTCTGGGCAGGGCACACAGCTTTGGTGAAGGGGAAATGAGGAGATGGGTACAGGTAAGGTCAATGAATAAGTGAGGACGGTTCTCAAGTGGGACCATGAGAAGTCAGAGGCACCAGAAACTCATTGCTCCCTCTGTTTAACTACAGGTGTCTGCCCAGTCTCCTCTCACCTGCCTTATTATTGTCATTGAAATTGTGTACTATCTCCTTCCTCCTCCACTTGACCTTTCCTTTTCTATCAGCACAAAATAATACAGATAAGCATTCTCTCCCACCCCCACCATCATGCTATATGCTTATCTTTTGAGGCAGCATAGTATAGTGTCAGGAGTGCAGGTTCTGAGCCAAATTACTCCTAGCTCTGCCATGTATTAGCATCATGGCCTCACACAAGCGCCTTAATCTCTTCCGTAAATTCCCCATCATCCACCCAATCCTGTCTGCTTTCTGTTCCTCCAAGGTCCCTTCAGGTTCTCTTTTCCTAATCTTTCCAGCTTTATTTCTTAAAGGACATTAGTGAATTGTTCTTAAAATCCCCCTGTGGATAGCAAAGCCATCTATTAAAAAAACAAAAAAACCCAACCTCTAGGAATTCCCCTCTTCTTGTTTTGCCTCCATTTGTTTTTTTCCAAGGGTATTATGAGCCCTTTGGAAAGGGATAGAATCTGTTCAGTTATAAGATGAACATGATATTAGTGATCATGTGAAATAACAAATCTAAGCTAAGGCTATAGAAAGGCAGCAGTGATGAGACCCTGGGAGAGGCTCAGGGAAGCACATAGCCCACCTGTGATCCAGCTGCAAGCAGTGCAGCTGCCATCTCCCAATCTCCGGCGCTACCCTCCTGGGGAAGAGCAGGAACCCAGGGAGCCGACTGAGCTGGTGAGGGGAGAGAGGAACCATTAGAAATGGACTGTCCACCCTTTCCCAATAAGAGCCTAGGCCGCATTTTAGAGGGGCTCAGGGGTCACATTTTTTCCTACACCTATGCCCACTGGTAAAACTCAAATGCATAAACGTAGTAAAGCAGACCTTCACTCAAAATGTTCTGTAAGGGTATTGAGTGGTATTTAGTGGAGTTTTTATGTCTCCCATCTCTACTAGACTAGCTATGGTTTGAATTTATTTTATTTGAATGTAATTTTCATCTTGCAAAGTGCAACTTACTGGGTGTGTTCTCCAACAGTAATCAGCGTTGTTGTCACTTCCTTTGTTTTCCACATTCAGTACCACTAAGCATGCACTTGCAGCATGTGGAGGGAGGGGAGAAGCCTAGTTATGTGGTTTGTAGAATCCAGGAGCTCCTAATATTCCTGTGACTAGGGCCCAGGAAGAATGGACTAGTACTGGTCTTGATCATGCTGTTTAGTCCATGGCAATTTGGGAATTTTTTTTTTTTTTAGCTGAGCCATTCTGCCACCTGTTGGCAGCTCAGGGGCAGCTCGGCTCGGGCCAGGCATCGAACCACTATTGCTCAGAGCTCAAACTCTTGAGCGAGCTCTTAACCAACTGAGCCACTCGGCCGGCCCATAATTTGGGAATTTTTAACTACTTTTTTTTTTTTTTTTACAAATTTTATTGGGGAACAGTGTGTTTTTCCAGGACCCATCAGCTCCAAGTCAAGTAGTTATTTCAATCTAGTTGTGGAGGATGCAGTTCCTTGGTCCATGTGGGAATCAAACTGGCAACCCTAGTGCCATGAGCCTGCACTCTAACCACCTGCGCTAACCAGCCACCCCTTTAACTACTTTTTGAACAGACATTAGGAGATTACTCCCTGCACTGTGCTTCCCCCACACACAACCCCTCCAGGCCCTCACCCTTCTCTTGAAGGGACTGCGGCTCCTCTTCCAGGTCACAGCACAAGTGTTCCAGTGGCCCTGGTGCTGCTCTCCACGGCCCCTCTTCTTGGCTTCCCCTTTCTACCTGGGGCTCTGCTCCATCCAGCTGGACATTCATCGACTCCCATCCTGTCCCCAGGGCTGTTGTCTGTTCTGAAAGCATTTTTGCTGCAAACCCAAATCGTGACCTGGAACAAATTCATATCAGCTGTATCCATGAAAACGGGAAGGTTGATATTTCTAAGGGAGTTACGGAGAACAGCCCAGGGATAAAAGATGAAACTGGATAAGAGGGGCTTGATGGAAGATGAACTTTAAAAGCTTGATGTGTTCCATTCAACTGAGCCTGAGCCAAGCTTCTTGGAGGAACTAAGAAATGAACAGGTGCTACAAAGCAAAGTCACTAATGGTTATTTTAGGAACCTCATGGTAGAGATAGAATATCCCTGAAAGCTGAAAGAACTTCATTAAAAATAAATAAATAAATAAATAAATAAATAAATAAATAAATAAATAAATAAGAACAATTCTGGAAATTCAAAAGTTATCCATTAATTTCAACTCCTGAAAATACAGTAAAGTAAGCAATCTGGAAACATGCAGAAAGGAATGCACAGACTTGCACTCAACAAACATGGATCTAATCACGTATAAAGTTTTTGGCCACAAATCCCATTCTCACCAATTAGTTTAGAATGAAATGACTACTATTAAGTCCCAGGCAAAGGGTGTATTTGTGTCATGTGTGCCCATGATACAAATACACCCTATGGCTGGGACTTACAGTGAGGACAAATGGTGCCTCGCTTAGAACAAGCCTCAACAAAGAGACATATGGCCTGTCCCTCTAATGGAGAAAATGAGAACTGATAGCAAATATGGTAGAAAGACCAATAACTTGGAAAGCAGATATAAGACTCCAAAGCAACCTCAACAGGTAAGAGAAATTGTTGGTCACTGAGGAGCTGACGTCTAATTGGGAAAAGTGAAAAAAAAGAACAGAAAGGGTTTGGGCCAGAGATGGAAAAAGGGGCAGCAGTTACTGCTAACATGATACCTACAGCGAATTAATAGGCCTGTCATTTAAGACACAGGAAAGAACCAGTCAGATCTTATTAGGAAAATATATTCAATTTTAAAGAAGGACATGGAGAAGCCAGAATGTAAACATGGGAAGAAATAAAAGTGAAGAAAAGGATGGGAAGTACAGCCATTGGGGAAAAGTTCCAAACGATGCACCTCGTTTTCTCCTGCCTAGGGAAGAAGGCTGATGCATGACGCTACCAATGAATGAAAAGATAGATGTTTTCTATCTCTGTGTAGATCTCTTCTTTTGTTCAAGAGAAGAGATTTAGGTTAGATAAAAAAAAAGTTCTTACTAATTATCCTGCAGTGCACAGGAACAGGTTTGTGGGTTCTTCTTTTCTCTGGACATCTTAGGAGCAGGACAAGTCCCACTTTCGTTGTGATTGGGCCTTGCGGCCTTTTGGTAAAGAAACAATCTATGAGACTGGGCAGGGTCCCTTTCTCCTTGGCAACACAATATTTTTGTGATTCTTATTCAAGGCCCAAGCAGTCAGAGCCAGTGCAATGCTTCCAAAAACAGGTCAGAACCTTGTTAACTACCCTGGCTCACTCACATCCACCCAGTAACATCCGCAAGAATCTCGGAGCCCAAGATAGGTAATGACAGATATCAAATTGTTTTTTTTCTTGTCACTTGTCTTGGATAAAAGAGGTAGGTGGGAACCCTAAGCCCAATGCACAGGAAGGGAACCAATTCCCCTCTCATCTCAGGAGTCCAAAGACGTCTCAAGGCCTCATGGGAGCATCCTGGACTGATTCCCAGTTTAGGAGGTTTCCTTTTCGGAGACTTCTCATGAGAAAGGAAAATTCCCAATAAAGCAATAAAGGGAAACTTCCACTTTAGCTCTCCTCTGAATTCTGGCACCTGTATTAGCTTCACTTTTAACTTATAAGTCACAAATTCCCCCTCTTCACCAGAGTTCTTCCTTGTTGTCTAGCTCCCCTCACCAATCTTCCTCAGGGGCTTTACCACTATCTATCTGGACACCTGTCTCAAAGCCATTTCTCCATCTCCCCAGGAGCACAGTCCATTGACGGAAGGCCTCTCTTTGCAGAGCCCACGGGGTCAGCTGTGAGCCTCTCCAGACCACTGACAGAAAGCCTGTGGAAGTGCTGGCAACAATCTCAGCAAAGGAGTGGGTAGGTTCTTATCCTCAGACTGCATTTCCTAAGATGTTCGCTCTGTCAGGGCCAGCACCTGGGCAGTTAAGATGTCAGCCCTAACCTGGTTTCTCCTGGATCCGGGATGATCCCAGGCCTATTGGAGTCGGGTTCTAGGGCTTTCCTTTCCTCCTTTTCCTAACATGTCTGGGGGCGGAGGAGGACAAGGCACCTGCAAAAGTTAGTTTTTGCAGCCAGCGCCGCTGGACAGAGAAAGGAGGGTATCGAAATGAATAGCCCAAGGGCACAGGGACAAGCAGCGCTCTGTCAGCGACGCCTGGCCCCTGCCCGGGGTGGGGCGTGGGAGGGACGGGCGCCTGCTCCGGAGTAAGGTTGCTTCTTCTCTCCTTCTTGTCACAGTGCCCCTGAAGAGGGTCAGATTTCAGAGAATCCGAGAGAGGCAGAGCTGGAGCAAGGGAAGTGAGATCAGAAAACAGGTTTCCCATGAACTGGGGCATAAGCAAGTGAAGAGAAAGGAGCCATGGGGTAACCTGTGCTCCAGTGACAGCGGCGGGAACCCGCGAGCCTGACAGCGACGATGGGGCCGAGGGAGACAGGGCGACGGGCGGA